GTATAATATACATACGCATTATCAGGTGAACGGTAAATGGTGAACATTACCAAAACAATGCGCAACACCACGGATAGGCCGGATACTACAGAACCACAACTTGTGTGTTTAAATGATTTGAGTACCAAGTTCACCTCGCCAAGGCAATCCCGTTCTATGCACCTCATCCGCGCGCTAGTTTGGAAGCCATGGCGAAGTAAGCATCGTCTGGATCTTCATAGCAATCAGACTCTTCATGGCGCCACCTGGAATGACAAGGTCATATCATTGGCTCCTCATAAATTTTCTCTATAGAGGTATTTTTAACTGCATTGGGTCTTGCAGTGTTATGTATGACGTGACTAGGAAAGTATTCGGCACTTGATTCAGTTTGTCATTAGAAGGAGCACTTTAAAGACTTTTTGTTTCTTGCTTCTTTGAACTACTAGCAATTCATTTCATCGAGACACATTCCAGTTACAGCATCTAGGTAGTCGACGTTTGACAAGCCGCTCTGTACATACACATGTCCTCGCAGCTCTGGTCTCTTTGTTTGGAAAAATACCACTTGAAGCCGGAGACTTCTATAAACGGCATAGATTCGTAACACAAAGGTGTTGACAGAAGAACGGAGGAAAAGGAAACCATCAAGGACTGTTGGTTAGGTCAAAATCTTGTAATTTGACAAGGTATATTACAGACAATCGTCGACCCTGATTCTACTAGGGACCACCTAACGTCTCAAACGACATCAACGCTCCATAGCCATCCCAAGTGTTCATGTCTTCTTGTCTTCGTACATAATTATGTTGCCGTCACTCATGTTATCCCAAGGCTAGTCCGCCCAAACCATGACATGTAATCCCACCTCCCTATAGTTGCGTTTTGACTGAACTAAACAAAAAGAAAAGAATAAGGAAAAGAGTTGGAGAAGAAGAAAAAGGAAAAAAGAAAAGAAATAAATATGGTGTTCCAAGACCCGGCGTACAGGCTGTCTGTTCAAAACGACGCTCGGTATTCTCGTGGGAATTTTTGTGAGGAGGCCAATCGACTTGCTTCCATCTGCAGGTACTGTGCTATCCTCTGGTCGGGACAATGGGCATGTTGGCCAAGCAAGTCCTTGAGAGCTCGCACTTCAGCCTGCAGCAAGTCTACCTCTGCCTTTAGCATCCGGTTCCTGCGTTCATACTGCCTCGACCTTTCGACAAGCTGTTCTTGCTCGTGTTTTTGTTTGCTCCGGCACTTGCTTGCAGCCCGGCGGTTCTTCTCGAGGTAGATGGCTCGCGCCGAGCCTGGTTCTACGTACTCTGAGTTACGCCTTCGCCGAGTAGTCCCCGTTGTTGTTGTTGTTGCTGTTGTGTTGGTGGGAGGGGTGGTGGCAGTGGTGGTAGTAGAGGGCCGCCTTGAGGGCGTCTCATCCTCTTGAGGGTATAGACTGCCACCCTCCTTATGGTACAGGCTGTCCCGGCGAGAGGGTATGGGGAAGCTGACTGGTGATGACGAGTTACTGGTTTCAAAGTGGGACTGCGATGGAGAGACAGTCGACGTGCTGTCGTAGTACCCAGTAGGTCGGTTGGCGGGCGTAAACGTGGGGTTTGAAAAAGCGACTGGGTTGATGCTTGCTGTCAGCGTCGGGTCTGTGTTGGTGTGTGGTTGTGAAGCCAATGTGTGTTGTGTGTTTTGGGGCTGCACTGTCGACAGAGGAGACGAGCTCCAGTCATGAACAGGTGGTTGTCCAGAATTCTGATGTTGCGAGGCATGGATATCGTGATTGGTCGGTTCTGCCGCTCCGGTGGGGTTGAAGGTACTAAAGAAGCTCCCGTAACCTGACGGCAGTCCCGACATTCGACCATATGGATCTGGCTCCCCGAACGAATTGCTGTATGGAAACATGACAGTAGTCGTCATATCGACTGTACGAGACTGTCTCGGACCAAGTCTATGCGAAAGTAACGCGGACAGATGGGGAGGTGTGGAAACGGGCTTGATATGTTGTCTGCAAAGTTTCGAGAATCAATGACAGCCTGTGTAGATAACAAGACTACAAGGGTATTACTGGAGTAAAGGATGGCTGGCTGTGTGGTATGCTTTCCCCTGGATGTTGGAAGATAGGGGAAAGGCAATTCACGGTCTATATGGTGGACAAGATGATTGCCATTGCAGGCGGAAGCTTCGTCATCCCAAGGGAAGGGACCCATCTGTTCACCTGTGGTCAGGGTTAGCCCCGACCGTGGGCGCCAGATTCTAAGGAGCAACCCTTGTCCTGAGTGCATACAGGTTGCAGGTGCGGTTGGGGCCTTGCTAGCAATAGCCGAGGGCGCGTTGAGTTGAGGCCAGCCAACGGGTGGACTGGTACGCCAGCCAACGGTTTACTTGGGCGACGAATTATCACGAGGGGGCGGAAGTCTTGCCCGTGCATGATCAGCAATAGACAGTGGGTTCACGGCGGATACGGTTACGTTGACCGTGGCCAATCATGGAGTGATCGCATGGCATGCAGGCGCAAACGGAAATGTGCTGAGGTGGATTGGCACGGCATTGTGCTCGCGCGGCTTTGGTGGGCGCTGACGGGGCGAGTTCTGGCAATCTGGTCAAGGTGAAAGGCGATGGATATACAGATATACTGGACGCGTCGTCGGAAGTGTACAATGGCAGGGTTAGGTAGGTAGGCAAAGCGAAGCGGCGAGACGCCGGTCAATTTGCTAAGAAAGGGAACTTTGTCAAGGGGAATCGAGTGCAGTCAGCTTCCCCGCCGCTACTGCTGCTGGTGACTAGCGCCGTGGATACGGACGGGCCCGTTAATTGTGCCCTAAACCCCTTTGCCTGCTGGCTTCTGGATGCTGCTGCACCACATCCAACCCGCCCGACCGTCTTTGCCCCAATGCAGCGGCGCAAATAACCACCAGTAGGATTGCCTCCCTCCAACCTGGCCAGCATGGGTTCGATGAATACGGCCGCCATGGGGTCAGAAAGCCACATCTGACGTGGGCTGAACGACAGCGGCTCTCCAGACGACAATGGCTGCCTTCACCACCTACATCTCTTTTCTTTTTTCTTTGCCGCACATACCGGGCTTTCCCCATCACAGCAAAGCCTCGTCCCCAAAAAGCAGAAGCCACTAACGAGCCTGTGCAGATCTCGTGTGCAGTACCCGTAGGCCACGGTTTACTCTTACACACAGAAGGTCGCCAGACTGCGACGAGCCTTTGTGGGCTGCCACCGTGGCGATTCTACAGGGCTCCTCGTCAAACACGACTCAAGCTCATCGCCCTGTGGAAGCTGGCGACCCACATTTCAAATTTTGCAGGATGCGATGAGGAATCGATATTGCAGCCGGTGCTTCATGCCGAGCCGCAAAACTGGCAGCCCACTGCCGCTCCTCGGAGTGACGGCTATCCCATCTTCAGCTCCATGTCGGTCAGAGTTGGCCGTTCCAATGGCCTTGGGCAAAACTTCCAGCGTCACCGCGCCGCCATGTTTCAACCCGATAAAGGGATTTCTTCTTACGGCATCATCGGCACTGTGGGGTGGCAGTTCAGTAGGGTCCACCTTTCTCGCTTGCACTCTTGCGCGTTTTCTCTCCAAAACTCAACACCATCAGCCCATGGAAAGTCGTGTATCTACGCAGCCAATGCTTTCCAATCTCCAGCTGCGTTCCGCCTACCCGACTTTGTCTCTAGAGCCCTTGCGCCAAGATCACACATCCTGGTCAATAGGAAGGGGGCCTTGTTCTCCGCGGCGCGGTAAGACCACACCGACAAGAGCGGCACCAAGGTTCCATACTTGATTTTCACATAGAAGAGCTCGGCTGCCTGGTTCGCTACCGATCAAGATAACCGTTTCTGGGGTCTGGAAGTACTGCTAGGTTTCGCAACACGCACTGGCTCACCACCAAGTACCGTCGCACCTTGGTACCAGCATTAGTAGTCCAAGCATGTGACTGGGCTCAGCCCCATGCTTTGGGCATTTGTCCATTTCCATTTGCCATTTCCCTTCTTCGACACTGATTCTTGGTCTTTTCCGAAACTTAAACCCAAGTGTTACCACTCGCGCCATTATTCGGTCGCTTTAGTGGAGTTCTGTAGATGGGCAACGCGTGCGCTACTACCGTGCTCTTCTTTTTGATGGATTGAGTTGTGGATGCGTGGACTCTTAAGCAAAAAGAAAAGTCCATTTTAACTGCATCTGTTCAGCGAGCCCCAGTTTCGACGTCAGTGACCCGAAAGCTATGTTTATTCGGCCTTGGTGTTTCGCGTACCGCAAAGCAATATTCCCCGTGGAACAAGTCGCCAATAGAAGGGTGGGATAACCGAAAGTATTGTGAAAGACGCAGCCACATCTCTGGGCAGCCTTCTGGAGCAGGGACTTTGTGATAACGGCTGAACGGTGCCCCGGAACGTCCTGCAGTGCAATTTAGAAACCAGTGCCACGTGTGATAGATGCTACAACTAACTAGCTAAGGCTAGACTGGGACCTAAAGGTCTTTCGTCGTTTATGGTCAAGTTGGGGAAATACGAGAGTGACCGCACAGCCGGGTAGCTATGTGTTTGACCATCCATGTTGCTGCTCCTTCTCTATCCCTTCCTGCCGTCTCTATGTTCATTCGAGGATCAGCGACGCAAAATCCTACAAAGTACAGACGGTCAGCTCACTTTTGCATAGCCGGCCTAGTCGGTTGGATAGTCTGTAAGCAAATTTGGAGAGGCATGCTACACCCCGGATTTCAGGGGAGTCTTGGGAACGCAATGACGCCACAATCCTCGAAAAGGAAATCAGCCAAGCAGGAAACAAAATTTCGTCAGTGAGTTAATAGTGTAATGGGTCGCAATGAAAGTTATACTGAGATTGGCGAACACCATCAAGTGCGCAACGCGGATATGATTTTCCGTGGCGGCTGATCAACTCCGCCGTCTCTCTGCTTCGAATGACGCCAACAAATACAATAGCACAACCAAGATGGCTGTACGTGAGACAACTCAATACCTCTCAACAAATTCGAAGAATACGAGAACTCAGTTGTGATGCGTGTCGTCGTATTTGGAGCTTCCGGCGTTCAGGGCCGTCACCAAGTCTATGCCCTCGCGCAAGCAGGCCATTCCGTGGTTGCAGTCAGTCGCAACCCTCAACCGCTACAAGTTGACGGAAAGCCTGTCGAAACGTTTGCTGCAGACTTTTCCGACAAAGCTGCCATTGAGCAGGTACTTCAAGACGCAGACCGAGTGTTCCTCAACCTGCCATCAACTTCTTTCAACAAGTCCGAACCCATCATCGCCGCTACAAAAAACATCGGCGAAGCTGCGAAGAAAGCCAAGGTTCCCCTGATACTTTTCAACACCAGCATGCCAGTTCCCAAGCAGCCACAAGATATCCAAGCACAGGATGATCGAAGAGTAATGAGATCCTCGTTACGGGAGCATGTCCCGGTAATCAGCATTGAGCCCGTGGTTTACCTTGACAATCTTCTCGAAGGCTGGGCTTTGCCTCCAATCCGCGACCGACAGACCGTCGTCTACTGCCACAAGCCAGACCTTCGTGTGTCATGGATCTGCCACCATGATGTCGCGCAAATTATGATGGCTGCCATGCATAGACCGGAACTTGCCGGACGCGACATTCCTATCGGCGGTCCTGAAATTGTTGTGCTTTCCCAGCTCACGGAGAAACTATCGAGAGCCTGGGGCAAGGAGCTTAGCTACGAAAATCAGACTGTGCCAGATTTTTGTGACAAGATTAGCAAGACGATGCAGGGAAGAGGGCTGGAGACTGAGACGGTGGTGAGCCAGATGTTCAAGGCGTATACATACTATAACGAGGCAGAAGATGAGCCGTTCAATATCGATATGAAGCCTGTCATTAGTGAACTGGGTATTGAGCTCACACCGATTGAAGAGTGGGCTAAGAGGAGAAGCCCTTGGGATGATAAGGGTTACTACTAGAGGTCGAGTTGAATCGGAAATTGGACTAGATTGTTATACATCAGTCTGACATCACAGCCGGGGTATACGACTTTGAGCTCATCTCTAAACTTTAAGCGAATGATGAGAAAGTCAATTCTACTCAAAGTTTCGGCTATGAAGATCTTGCCAAGTGCTAATCTACTTCACGTTACATTGCAGTATAATATCGTACGATCAATATGGACGTCCGGTCTTTGAACAGCCAACATTGAAGAATGGTGATGATCGATGCATAAATCACTCTAATATCCTTCTGAGGATTGTTACATGCTAAACAACTTTCAGAACTATCCACCTATTCAAAATTGAGATTCTTATTTACCACCTTACAGGACAACAAACCGCTCAATCCTTCCGACGACACAAACAGTTACAGTTGAATCAAGAGAGAAAAACAAACAGCAAGAAAAAAGATCCACACGCATGTCACACTACAAACCCTACATGGCCATTCCGCCCCCACCATATCCTGTTGGATGATCCTGCAACGGCTTTCCCCATTCACCAATACCATCGCCCCTCAACCTCTGCACTTTGAGCGCCACCTCATTAACCTGGCGCAGCAAGTCCTCGGGACTACTCTTGCCCGGCACAAACACGAGCTCAGCATCTACCGCCGGCTTGCCTGTGCCGACAAATTTGCCGTCCATGTCCTTGACATAGTGGGCGAGGTACTGCGAGCGTTTCATCCGGCGCGTCACAATGGACTGGCGGACCTTGCCTTGCTTGTGTGAAAAGGGGTTGAAGTTGTGAAGGCTGAAGTCCACGGTTCGCGTTACGAACGGTACTGTGATGTACTCGTCCGGGTCGCCTTGGGCGAGGGCCGTGAGGGCGCGTCCGACGGATTCGTAGGTTGGTGGTGGGTCCGAGGCGGAGGAGCCATCGTAGGCCGGCAGTGGATCGTGTGAGGCCGCCGATGTACCGCTTTCACTCGCTTTGGACTTTGCCAAGGTCATCCTGTTCGTGGTAGGGTAGGGTAAGGGATGTACAAGATATTGTTGGATTGGGATTGGCTGGAAAGCAAATATGCAAGTCAAGGGCTTGGAGTATAGTAAACGTTTAGAAGGATATACTAGTGTATATGTGTCTTTGTTAGGAGAAAAGTAACCTATTGACCTCCTATCTTCAGCCTTAAATATGTGCATGTGTACTCCGGTCCCCGATCTACCTTCCTACCACACTATCCAGCTAGAACCCCATCAGATGGGTGTATCTAAGCCTTGCACCTCAGAGCGCTGCGCCCCAACCCTCAAAATAACTGCCTCACCCACTAATCCGATATAGGAAACTTGCACTACGCCACATACGTAGTACTGCCGAAGATGGTATTGCAAAAATGGCTATGTAGTGTATACCAATGATCAACAATCATAGTAGGTTTTTGTTCATCCACTCACATCACTTGCACATTTTGCCCTCCACCTATGCACCGTGACTTTACTGTGCGCCTTGGAGGCTGAGTTAGGTCACAGTGATCTACAGTACATACAGAACGCGGGGGAATGTGATGTTGGTGGCTGGAGCTTAGCGTCTGTTCTCTCCGTCCCGGTTGCTGCCGATCGAATGACGCGCTCCGAGCCAATCATAACGAAGGGGCCAAACTTCCGACTTCCAAATTTCCGCATCCTAGACATTTAAAGCTTAAGCTTGGACGAGAAGGTGGTAGTGTATACATGGACGATTGGGGGGCTGTGGGTGCACGCAAGGGATCGTAGGATCGTCAAAGCGCCTGAGCCCCTCTCCCCTCCCTCATGTCCCTTGTATCTTCCCAAGCGCTAAAAATATGTGTCCTAACCAGGAAGCCTCGAGACTTTAGTTTTCGTGGGGAAAGCTTGTTGATTCAATCAGTGGGGTGGGCATGTGGATAAAATCTGTACATTGTTAATTGACTCTCAGCTTCACTCCTAGAGCTGAGAATGCTGTAAAACGCAAGTATTCCAAACTGGAGAAAGCATTCATATACATATCAGAGGTGGTTTCTCACAGGGATCCAATACGTAAGCATAAATCGTTTATTTCTTCCATACATCATAATATCGTAGCGTAGCTAGTCTTCAGATGCTCGTCTTGTATATACAAAAAGCCATGAGCTCCACTCAACGTGGAAAATGTTAATTCAACCATAGCAGCCTCATACAAACTCCTCCTCGCTAACGTTCTTGTCCATCTTCTCAAGCTTGTCATCAGGCACAATGCTGCCAGTAAAAGGCTTACGCGACATGCTAACAATAGCAGGAATGCTCTTGCCCTCTGTGAACATGACTTCCAGCTCCTCCAAGCTACGACCCATGGTCTCGGGGTAGCCAAAGTAGACTACGGGGAGAATGATGGCGGAGATGATAAGGAAAACAAGGTAGTATTTCCATCCAATGGTCTCAATCGCGACCTAGTGTTGCGCGTTAGCAGAAATCAAGATATAAACAGAACATGTGTACATACAGGAGTGACCATATTGACGACAAAGTTCCAAAGCCAATGGTTCGCGGTCGAGATACCAGCCATAGGCACGCGCAGCCGGGTTGGGGCAACTTCCGTGCAATACAAGAAGTTTGCGCCAAGGAAGCCGATAGGGATAAAGAAGTTGAAGAGGAAGACGAAGAGTGCAGAGGCTATTTGGGCAGATTGGTTCGTCTTAGGGAAGCTGGATGCGATGGCTAATGCCAACATGCAAGAGGCCATGCCGGCGCCGCTAAACATGAAGAGCTTGCGACGTCCGAAGCGGTCAATGGTGAAGAAGGCGACAAAGCAGGAAAGAAATTTCCAGGTCAACGCGCCGCCGGACAGGATGCGTGACGTTTCGCTGTTGAGGCCTAGACCCTGCTGGAAGATGATCTACAGAAACAAGTTAATACGGTGATCATGAATAAGGTTGAAATGATTAGGCTTACAGTTGAGTAGGTGGAGATGAGGTTGCTGCCACACATCTGCTGCAAAAACTGGAGGAAAATGCAGAGTGCAAAGCGGTAGAATAGCTTGTCTTTGCCCATGGTGAAGATATCGCTCATCTTTGCTGCGCTGCGGCCGGTTTCCTCGAGCGTGATCTCAATGCCAGTAATCTCAGCAGTGATCTCAGGGTCGTGCAGATCCAGACCCTTGAAGCTGGACAGACTGACACGAGCGTCTTCGACACGGCCCTTTGCTACAAGCCAACGAGGTGATTCAGGGATGCTGAAAACCGCCAACATGGGAATGACGGAAATGACAGTCGGAATAGCGAGGGGAATGCGCCATTGTAAGGGCAGGTTGTCTTGCTCAAAGAAGCCCAAATTGATCCAGGCTTCGAGGAGGTAGCCCAGAGAGATGAAGCATCCGTCCAGCACGACGTGCTTACCACGGTTGGCCGACGATGAACACTCGGATTGCCAGACTGGGACTGTGGCGCTCAGAGCACCGACGCCCCAGCCGAGGATGAAGCGGCCGACAACAAATTGGGCAAGCTGGAAGCTGGTGCATTGCAGTATCTCGCCAATAAGCGTCAGACCTGCAGCAAAGAAGATGAGCTTCCGTCGCCCGAGGTAGTCTCCGATCCAGGAACAGGATAGAGCGCCAAAGAGGGCACCGATGGTGAAGCTGGCAACGACTGCACCCTGCTTGGTAGAGTTGCTGCTCTTCTCAGCGCCATGCGTGTCGATGGTGTTAATTTCGGGGAAGTGGTCGTTCCAGTCCCGAAGTGAGAGGAGACCACCTACGCCAGACTGATTGTACCCGAACAGCACAAAGGCCGGTAGGACAACGAGCAAAAGCTGAGCCGTCTGGAGGGTTTTGCCGCTGAGTCCCATTGTGGTCGAAGATGGAAGGGGTCAAAGTGCAAGAGGAGAAAGAAGGCACTGCACGAGAAGAAGGGGTCGGGAGAGAGGTCCCTACTTGTACTCCAGAACCATTCCCCACAATGCCAGTACCGTCGTGTGGGTGCCATCATGGAGACTCCAGTCAGTGCATCATTCAACATTTCAGTCCCCACATGTTGGGGTCAAACCAACCACCGGAGATGCAACGTCCTAGCAGGTTCCGATGGCCGTTTCAGGCATAACCCCATACACACCGGTCGGAAGAGTGACGCCCGCGTCGCCAGTGTGGAGTCGGCATCTACGGCATTTGAAAGTAGGCGAGCAAGGAAAAAAAAAGACAGGGCGCGTCGACGGCAATAGCTCGGCTTGGGTGGTATCGGATGGAGCGGCAAGGAAGCAGGATCCTGGAAAAGGCCGCAACGCTATCGTCAAAGTTGAGGCGTGCAGTGGAGCGGTTGAGACTGCGGCTCTGCGGTACGAGTTAAGCTTCTCCAAGAGGGAGCTAGTTTGCTTGAAAACCTTGATTTGCCCAGCCTCTGATTCGTCCACGCCCGCGGCCTCGGCAGCTGTCTTCCTCCGCTTCTCCCCACCCCTCCAACTCCACTCTATGGCAATGGTTGAGAGATAACAAGCTCGTGCGAGGAGGAATTTGCATGTCGTGAATAATCACCGCCAGACCGCCTGGCCTCGACATGTCACGACCCCACGCGCACGTACAAAAATACTTATCATCGACGCTTCGACGTACTGTATACGCTGCCAGCCCCTCCCCCTACGCTCACCGTCGACATGGCGATACGACGACTACTTACTACACCTACACTACACTACACACCATGTATACGGGTGCAGCACCGGCACCCCAAAGTAAGAGTCTGTTAGCAAATCCGGTGAATACCATCTACTTAATCATAGCCCCCCCGGCACTTATCAAGCTACTGGGCCGTCCAAAAGGGTCGCGCGTTTCTTTCCCTCTTAGGATGGCCTTGTGTCATCGCTAGCTGCTGCAGTGGACTGTGCGCCCTCGAGATCGGCGCTCTCCTTCAAGTCCGCTTCCGTATTCGCACCGGCCTCGTTGCCTTGGTGCCAAAACCCATCTTTTGCCCCCGATCGTCCTGTGTCGGCCCCGAGCCCTGGGGATTGTGTCACCTCTGCCGCTGGCCTGACGTGTTGATCTTCCACACCATGCAATCGACCAGACTCGATGCCTCCCGCTCCAGATGCTCGGGGCGTCGGCAGCATCCCATACTCAAAACGGTCGACAACGGCCTTCTCCACTGACATGCGGGGCTCGTCAATCTCTCGTTTGTACTCGTTAAGAAGCGCAACGGCTCTCTCGTCACCCTTTACCACACAAGCGTGTATGAGAAGCTCCCAAGTCTTCTTTCGGGGCTTCATCGGCGCGTCACCCTCGCCCGACGACATCATCTCCTCATAGTATAGCAGTGCATCTTCTAGGTCGCCACATCGTAGGCAGACCAGTACGAGCCGATCATATGTAATGCGGTCGGGCATCAGCCCAAGCTGCATCATCTCGTTTGCCAAGAACATTGCCAGTTCCTTGCGTACAAACTTGTGGCAGCCCTTGAATAGAATATTGAATGTGTTGGTGTTGGGCCCCGCGCGTGAAACGGTATGAAGGGCTTTGTATATCTCAATCGCCTCCTCAAGGCGACCCAGGGCAAGACTAGCCTGGATGCACGCATTCACCGCCGCTGTGGGCACTCTGCGACCAGCAGCCTCATAGTCCTGGAGGAGGGCAAAAGCTTCCAACGGGCGGTTAGTCCCGTCATCCGTGTCAATAGACAAGTAATGGTACAGTGGCTGGCACGTTGCAGCATCGACCTTGACGTTAGCATCGACCATGATGAGAATCACGGATAGAGCAGCCTCGACATCATTGGCTTGGAGATGAGTCGACATGATGAGCTCGTAGTGGTGAGTCGTAAAAGTGGTTTCCCGCTCCGTAAGTAGACGAAAGACGTCGGTGGCAAGTTCAACGTCTCCATGATGAGAAGCGAGGGCAAGAACAGACATGCAGGTGCCAGTACCCGGTTTCAGGTAGCCTGGCTGAACTTGAGTCATCCACACTTTGACCGTTTCTTCATACTGCGCGCCATCAGCATTGTGCCATGGGTTGATTGTCAAATTGGTGTTACACATACAAGTTGACTCTCTGCTGCTGCGTCCAGCAATGTGCCCAAGAGCGCATCACTTACCTTGGCAGTCCCCGTGCCACTGCCTTTGTTTTGCACTGTTTCTTTGAGGCCCAGGACGTAGAAAGCCTCTTCCACTTCTTTGAACTCCAATAGAATCCACATGGCCTCGTCGAAGACCCAATTCTCCACACGTATGTTGTTCCGAATCATGTCCTCCATTGTGTCAAGCGCCTGCTCGAAATGACGCTCTCGCAGCAACCCTGCCACGACAAAGTTCTGCCCGCGAGTGGAAAGGGTGAGCCAGCGCGACTTCATGTATTCGAGGATCTCGGAGCGCAAAAGGTAGTCAGGATGCACCGCCAGCACCGCCAGCACACACTCGCACGCACGAGCGTCAAGCTCAATCCTTGGGGCCCCAAACAGCGACGCATCCGTCTGACTCCAGAAGCCCATTTCTTCAAGTACTTTGCGTAGCTTGCCAGCCGTGCCATCCTTGGAACTGACAAAGCTGTGCAGTATGGCTGTATACATTTCCCTATTTGGCTGCTCTCCTCTGTCCTTGATTAACACCCTGCAAATGTTCATGACCTCGTTCCAATGGCCTTTGGCGCCCTCGGCACGGGCATGGTCGTAGAGAAGGTCGGTTGGAAGCTGAGCGAGCGAAGGCTTTTGCCGGGAACTGACGGGGCGAGGAACGTGGGATTGCTCGCCAAAAGGCCGGAACCCAGTTGGCGCCACGCCGGGCTGTGAGAAGAAGGACTCGTTGGCCGCGCGACATGTCTTGGATAGAGTATAGGCACGCCACTGGTTGCGGGGATTGATTGATCCATCATTCCGTGTCGCATTGCGCTGTGGCCGCCTAGCCGATGTTGCTACCGTGGCGCTTGTCGTCGAGTTGGGTGGAAAGCCAGGACAGAGACAACGCCATAGTCGGTCGTTCACGAATGGGCGTGGTGGCATTGGCGTTGATGTGATGCCTTGCCTGTCTGAACAGGCCCAAAACTTGAGTTGCAAGAGGGGCCGTGCGCAGAAGCCTCGGTTGCGCACGTCTGTCATGCCTCACCTCACTAGGAGCTTTGAGCTTCCACTAGTAGGCAAATATGTAAAGAATATTACTACTTGTATGCTACGTTGATGCGCGCCATCAAGAAACTCATGTTTCAAGTGGGCGCCAGACTGCAGAAAGGGTATATGCGCCCAATTACCAATACCTACCGTCCGCGGCTGATGCCGTATGCCATGCCTGTCGAAATTCGAGCTGCGTCTGCAAGGCAGCGCCAGATTTGACTCCTCCCTCCCAAACCTCCTCTTGGACCAGTAAACACTCTATTAAATGATCAAGCTAAATCCATGTTTTGCCTTCATCTCCGAACCATTTGCTCGGAGAGAAGTTCAAGCACCTGTGACGCTAAAGTGAGCATGCAAGATGTGGGCTCGACAAGAGGAGAAACATACCTTTGGTGATATTATGTCCTGGTTCACCAGGTGCTTGCTCAAGATCTTGACAACTTCCATCTGTTCCTCGTAGGTAAGTCCAGTAATGGCAGACTCGATGACGCCGCCGACAGTCGTGTGGTGGACAGCAATAAAACTCGAGTAGTAGAAGAATGCAATGGATCCCATGATGAACTGGCAGTCCATGCGGTCAGTCATACCGCCATGTCCAGGAATAGAATCGCCAAAGTCCTTGATTTTGAATGTTCGTTTCAGACCAGAGGCGAAGAAGCCACCAAATGGTGCAATGAGCGAGGCAAAGGTTCCTAGCATAATGACGTGGAATTGAACGGGCATGATGTTAAAGGTGCGGGGGAACGGAAGACCCTCGGGAAGGAAGGGAATTGTGTAGTCGCGCGCAACAAAGACGGGATTGGGTCTGCACTCGAGGCCAGACCAGATGTTTGCGCCCAAGTCGTTGACGGGGCAGATAAAGTACTTGTACTGGGAGACAAAATGAGTGACGGCGACACCCCAGAGGACGGTAAAGAACCAGGCACCCAAGAATCCCTCCCAGGTCTTCTTGGGTGAGATTTGGATCAATGGAGTCCTGCCAAACGTGATTCCGCAGAGATAGGCAAATATGTCGTTTGTGATGACCATGGACACGGGGAGGATGAACCAAATGAAACCTTCGAAGATGTTGTTGATGACAAAGTGAGCCTGTCCGACAATGAGGAACAGAGCCATGTGGGACCATGCAAATTGGGTGAACTGGAACTTGTAGTGGCCCTTTTGGAGGGAGAAGACGAAAAATATGAAGCCTGGCTGGGTTAGCTCAACGAGACGGGGTGAAAGGGAGGAGCTCTCGTACCAATAATGTAGAGCATAAAGGAGATGAAGCGGTGGTGGGTAGCCAGAGGAAGCAGCAGCCGGTCAACCATCAAAATATGTTTGAAGTAGTAGATGACGCTCTCGCCATACAAAAAGTACATTGCGGTGCCGAGAAAGTACCAGTTGAGCGACTTTGTGAAGCGCAGGCTGCGGGCCTTGCTAGGCACGTTTGCGATTGCAATGACCTCCTTGAAGGATATGCATTGGACGGCCGTGACCATGATGATTATGAAGAGGTGGCCAGCGCCGAGAGCCCAGAAGAAGGCGGCAATCATGACGAGGGTCCATATTGTGCGGGTGATGAAGTTTGCCTTTTTCTTCTCGTACTCGGTTTGGGGGGGTTGTTCGGGGGCCTAGGCAAGTCAGCAGGGCGAGGGCGAAGAAGAGAGAGACGGGCCAAGAAGAGAGAGACGGGCCAACGTACTGGGGGAGCCGCTTCCTCCTTGATGGTGGTTGGGCTTCCGGGGTCGCTGAACTCGGACAGAGACTGCGAGGGCCTACGAG